TTCTGCTTATTTATCCTATTAACTACTATGAGAAGGTATTAACACTTCATCTATGATTGTATTCAACCTGTTTACACTTAGATTATGACTTATTGACTGTATATATTTTACTTTTATAACCAATCTGACAATCTCTGTCCCTTGACTTTTAGTTTATTTGCATTTAATACAATTATTTATATGCTTGAGTTTAAATCTATCATATTATTTATGTTCTATTAACTTCTCCATTTTGTTTTTATTTTTGCCATTTTGAGAGGTTAATTAAATCATTTTAGAATTCTTTTTTATTTCCTCTATTGGCTGTTTTGCTACACTTCTTATTATTACTTTTCCTTGGCATGCTAGGAATTATAATATGTATCTTTAATTTATAAAAGTATCCTTAGAACTAATATTTTACCGGCTCACACTTCACACTTCACACTTGCAATTTACAAATGTAAGAACATCAAATCAGTTTATTATTTTTTTAGTAAACATTCCATTTTTGGCATTTCTTTTAAGTTGGTGATAATCAGGCACATACAATATTACATAAAATCAGTTTATTCTTATTATACCACCACCTTTTGTAGTACTATTGTTATATGTTTTATTTAGCTTTACCTTATAATGATGTCATTTTTGTTTTAAAGAGTTTATTTGCCCTCTGAAGAAATTAAGAAAAGAAAATTTGAAAGTGAGTCTTCTATATTAATTTGTATGCCTTCCATTGCTAGTGCTTTTCATTTCTTCTTGTGGAACCAGATTTCTATCTGATATCATTTCCCTTTGGCTTGATGAATTTCCTTTAATATCTCTCATAGTGCAGGTCTGCGAGCAACAAATTTTCTCAGCTTTCATTTATCTGCAAATGTCTATTTCACCCTCATTTTTAAAGGATATTTCACTGCATATAGATTCTGGTGGGTTTTTTTTTTTTTTTTTTCCCTTCTAGAGTTTTTTTTTCTTTTTTCTTTTTTTCTTTCCCTTTTAGGGGATTCTAGAGTTTTTGTTTTTGTTTTTGTTTTCATTTTCCTTCTTTCAGCACTCTAAAGACGACCATTCCATTGTCTTCTGGCCTTCATTGTTTCTGACTGAAAATCAACCATCTTTCATATTATTGTTCCATATGGATAATGTGTTGATTTTTCCTAGTGCTTTTGATATGTTCTTGTCATATCATTGTCTTTAGTTTTCAGCCATTTGATAATGATATCAGTACCTAAGTTTGGTATTCTTGATATTTACTCTCCTGCAGCTTTTTAGTACAAATGCAGACTACTGATTCCCACTTCAGACCTACTATATCAAAGTCTCTGGTAGTATGACAAGGTTCTAAATTTCTAAACAGTCTCTAAATTATTTTTATGGACACTGAAGATTAGAGAATCACTAAACTACAGTAATAAAACTAGTCCCTATCCTGAAGAAATGTAGGATATTTGAAAGAGCTAGGATATATACTCAAAAATCTATATTATTAGGATATAAAAATATGCCATATCAGTAGGAATGATATGACCTGAGCTGGTCATCAGTCTAAAGCTGGTCTTTAAGTGGTCATCTCTAAACACTATAAAGAACAACAATTTTACCATCCCCAAACTAATCTTGAAACCTCTATTACTGGCATAAAATAGGAGTGAGAGGCCAAGCAAAAGGAATATTTTTGACAGACTTAGGTTGAGGGTATCTGACCTTTCAAATTTTAATACAGAACTGTACCCCCCACATACACACAATGTGGTAACCCTATTCCAAGCAGAAAAAAAAAAAAGAGATTTGGAATGTTTTCCAGCCCATTAACAAAATGCAATAGCTTCTTATTTTTTTTAATGCAACATAACCTGGATGTCAGGTTGCATTAAGATGCCTTGGGTTACGATGACATAAATAGTTCAACATAATGAAACATGACACTGAGAAATATGGGCATCGATCTGTGCCACTAATTTAAAGACGCACTGGGTTTTGCCCTGATCTGTTTTTATGTCCTCAACCAGGAAATGACACATGGATAATGGGTATTGTCTGCTTTGTTGTTCCCAGGACAGGCTGCACAGAGTTTTTCTATTATTGACACATCCTTGGTATTGACAAGAGGGTTATCATATTCTCTTTCTCATGGACTCTTGTCAAATGGTCATAACTTACACAAATAAGAACAGACTCATTGTAAAGGCAGTCTTCAGTAAAATGGATTCCAACTATATCTTCCTCACACTTCAGTCTTCATTAGAGCTGAAATCTAATCATATTTATTTATGTAATCAGTGAACTATAGTACTATGCTAGGGAAACAGATGACTAAGACACTGACCTCTAGTCTTTTTTAGCATTTATTAAATTACATTTTTCAGAGATGTTACTAGATGTAGCCTTAAAATTTCTGTGTTTTGGAAATACAGAGTTAAACATGTTTTGGTCAAAACTGGAGATTGAATTAATTCAGAATTCCTTGCTTCCCACTCACGCTGGATCAGTATAGTCATAAAGCTCTGCTGTGTGAGAACTGGAACTGGGCTGTCTGTAAAATCTATGAGTTGTCAAGCATTTTCCTATCCATTAAATGGAGACTGAAGAATTCTACCCATAAACCTGGGGAAACACCTTGGAATTATTATCCTGAGGTATGAATATGATCATTGAGATCCACAGGAGAGGAGAAGGGGAAGGGGGACAGGTAGGGGGATAGGATGGGAAGAGGAGGAGAGGAATAACTACAAACCATTTGAAGAAACAAATCTCCAGGAGAGATAATGAACCCACATAATAGCAATAACCAAAAAAAAAAAAAAAAAAAAAAAAAAAAAAAAAGAAGAAAGATTGCTTAAAAAAATCTTTAAAAATTTTTAAAGTAAGTAAAATGGCTTTATAAATCAAATTTACTAATATTTTCCTTAATGTTAGTTCTTTCTGTGTCATACTTAACAAATTTTGCCTATTCTAAGGTCATGGATATATTTTTCCTATGTTTTATTCTAGGAACATTGTTTTAATTTTCATATTAATCAAAAGGTAACTCACAGAGTAGAAAATGTCTGCAGTGCATAAAGTGAGAAAAAAGTCCTTTCCAGCATATATTCAAAATACTTACAAATAATGAGAGAAAGACAATCAAATAAAACAGTAGGAAAAAGATTGGAACAGGTACTTTACCAAAAATGTAAAAGGCCATCAAAATGGCCAAGGAGTATTTGAAAAAATGAAAATTAAAAACACTATGAAATGCTATTACACACCCAGCAGAATGTTTAAATTCTGAAAGCTGTCAGTAGCAAGGGTTGGCAAGGATGCAAAGAAACTAAAATTCTTATATATATGGATGAGTTGAACTACAGATTGCTATGCCCACTTTGGAAAACAGTTTAACAGAATCTATTAAGCTAAAAACATGCATACCTTATGACCCAGCAACTCAACATATGGGTAAATACCTAATTTAAGTGATTATTCATGTTCACCTAAAACATATTGCTATATAAGCTGTTAGCAGAAAGGGAAGCTGAGTGAAAAGTTTATGGGAACTTTCTGTGCTATTTTTGCAACAATTCTATAAGTCTAAAATTATCTCAAATTAAACAAAATTAACTGTTAAAAGGAAAGCCAGACACAAATGGCATAAACTCAGGAATTAATTCATATGAAATTCAAAAAGAGTAATCTATGGTATGGAGGACCCTTTAGGGGAATACTGACTCAAAAGGACATAAAGAAGCATTCTGTGATCCTGGAAATGTTTTACATCTTTCTCTGGGTGGTATTTATATGGCAGTACATATAAAGAAAATGTAAAGAAAGAAACAGGGTTAAATTGTTAAACGATGCAAATAGAATTCATCTGAATGCAGTATAAAGCTATAAGGAGATGGAAATTATGAAAGATAAGGTAAAAGAGATGAAAGACAGAAAGAAAATAAAAAATTTCATCTGTATCTCCTTAGGGTTTCAGGAGGAGAAATTAGAGAATAGGGAGTAATAATACTGAAAGATGTAATGTGAATCAGATAGATAATTTATAAAAAATGTCTTCCGTTTGAAAGAGCACACTGAGTTTTCAATAGAGTAAATTATATGCATACCTAGTTCCAACGTGATTAAAAAAATCAGTTATCAGAGAAAAAGAATCTTAAAAAATGTTAGAATTCTCACTATTGGAGTGGGAATACAGATCAGCAAGGAAGACTAGAATGATCCATATAGCAAAGGCAGTATCAGTACAAACTCATGTTTAGCTTAATTTAATTCAGAGAGAGATGTTTACATACAGAAATATTTGTCAACTTGTGAATATACACAGGTTAGTATCCACTACATATAATTCTTTTTTGGCAGTCAAAAAGAAACAATACCCTAGTGGCAACAAATATATCTACCATCCAAATCTTAGTCTTTAATACCATTCTCTAATAAAAGGAGTAAGACCTTTGGAGAAATAGCTGATTCCAGGATTGGAACAGGAAATATAAAGATGACCACTGAACACTTTGTAGTACCTAAAGGGGAAAAAATCACAAACCCCCACAATGGTGGGGACATGTCAAAGGAACACAGGGGCCAACTGAAAGAGCTCCTAATGACCAAAGCTGGAAAAATGCAAGCAATAGTATAAATAGTGTGGGATTATAACACAAAGTATAAAATAAATATTAGTGGTTCCATTTGGATACAAGTTATTGAAAAAGTTAATATATGGGAGAGAAGAGACAAATTTCTGGTGCAAAATAATTCCAAGTAATTTATGTAGATACCCTATCTTCAAGGAAGTGGAGCATATAACTCCCTACTCTTGACATGTGGGCTGCACGTAGTGGCTTTTTTCCAAAGAGTAAGTGTTGAAAGGAGGAAAAACAGGATGAACTTTACAGTGGAGAAACTTGATAAACACTTCCTCAGCCAGACAGTAGTCAACATCAGTAGTCACAAATCATATTGTTAGGATATAACTTTAATATGATGTAATAAAAATGGCACTTTAACTCTATGGTTTTCCTCCCCCAAACCCATATCCCCAGTTCTGTCATGAGAAAAACATCAGAAAATTTCTAGCAGTGGGGCAGCCTACCAAATATTTGATCAGTACTCCTCAAAGCTATCAAGGTCATCAAAAACAAGAGACATCTGAGAAACAGCCACAGTCAAGAAGAACCTGAGGTAACAGGATAACTAAATGTAATGTATTATCCTAGATGGACTCTTGGAATAGAAAATAGACATTAGGTAAAAACTGTAGAAATCTGAATAGACTATGGACTTTAGTTAATAGTAGTGTATCAGTGTTGTGCTCATTAATGATAAAAAAATATACCAGATGTTAAAAATTTTAAAAGAAGCATAATCAACAACAACAACAAAAAGAACAAATAAATACAATAAAATCCATCGCTGCTGCTTTCCTCAGCAGTTTGATTTTTAAACTTGTGGCTTTTCAAAAAGATGATGTTGATGATGATGGTGATAATTATTGTTGTTGTTGTTGTTATTATTATTATTATTATTATTATTATTATTTTAATTCCTGAAAAGCAGACAGTAAAACAGTTCCTGGAAGAATTTACAACCTACGGGATGTGATTTTTTTTTTTTTTTTTAATTTTCAGAATTCATCCATGGATCAACTGTTGCTATTCCATTACAATAACCATTTCTTGGCTGAGTTCAGGTCCTGAGGAAGCGCCACACCCTTGAAACAAAACAAAACACATCCAGAACAAACCATACAACCATCTTTAACCTAGCTTTTTATAGAATGTCTCAGTTCCTTGTAACTTTGCACACAAGCTCTTGTGTTGAATTGAACTGTAACTGGTTTTATATTTGGAGAAAGCAAATTTGAAAACTTTAAAGAGAAAAAAAGTGGGAGCAAAATTGTTTTTGTTTTTGCTTTTTTGACAAAGACTACAAGATTTAACAAGCAAACTCTCAGTGAGCATTCTTAAGAAGATAGACTTCTGTGTATCGAGAGAGGTTGGGGAGAGTGCAGGCCATGCTGCAGTGACACGCAAGGGCGCACAGCTCCCATGTTGGCTGTGGGTGGCTAGAGCTCTGCCCCATACTTTCTTCACTTTGGGATCCAGCTGCCCTCATAGCAGTCTCTCAAAACTTCTTGAGCAGCAACACAGGTAATGTCTGCTCACAGCATATTGGCCAAACTACGTCTCACATCCAGGAGGGAGGGAAGTATAATTGTATGACAGAAGAGGCAATGAATATTTTGAACATTATACATCTCCCACAGCCTGACAGAAGGAAGGAATAGCATATAGTCAGCATGTTTGTTCATTAAAAAAGGTATTGATGGAAAATAATGAAAAACATAAATTAGGGTTTTAAAATAAGGCAGGAAATCTGGGATAATGGAAAGTGGAGGAGACATGAATTTTAAAGATTCTCAGGTCTTTGTACTTTCTGGTATAAGGTCTTTGTACTTTTTGATTAACTTTACTTTTAGGTAAATGTGCAAAAAAGTAAAAAAAAAAAGTTAATAAGAGTGGAAATATAATGGATACTTTCCGATTTCAGTTGAGAAGAAAGGAGATACAAAGAAATCATATCTAATTCATTAGAAATCAGAATAGCAGATAAAACATAAATTAAGAAAAACGTAGTAAAGAGAAAATGCAAAATGAGATAACAAAAACAAGTTCGAAGATTTAAACCTCAACTATGACCAAAAGATCTCCCCATTTAACAACACAAGACACCAATATTTAAAGTTCTGGCAGTTCCTTAACGTGGGTCAGGTTGTCTGCAGCCTTTAATAAACCTCGGAAGTTCTGCTCCTGGATTCTCACCAGTAGCCCAGACTCCTCCAAAAGTCTTAATAAAATACCATTTGTAGTTTTCAGAAATTGTAACATAAATGCCAGCCAGGTGAAGTTTGTCTTACAGAACTATCTTACAAAGGCTTTTAACTCAGTGTTAATGATACCTAAAAGACACACAGAGGCATGATACCCACTAAAGAACTCTGAAATTATGAAACAAACTTAGATAAGAATGAAGCAAGAGCAGAGATTTTAAAACTATCAGAAATCTTGAAAATAAATATGTAATTTTTGAAAGTTAAAGGGGGCTTAAAACTGCTTCTGCTTCTCCCTCTCCCTCTGCCCTTTCCCCAGGTTGTGCTCTGTCCATCTCTCTCTCAAATAAATAAATAAACTCTTTAAAAAAAAAAATCAGTGAGGGCCTGGAAAATTTGGATGAAAATTTTCTGGGGAAAAATGGAGGGAGGGGTGGAGAAACAGTACTTAACAATACCTGAGAACTAGCCAAAATTTAAAAAAACAATTATTCTCAAGTTTAAAAGAAACTAAGAAACTTTTTTAAAAAATTTTATTTATTTGTCAAGAGATAGAGAGCAAGTACACAAATGGGGGAGAGGGGCAGAGGGAGAAGCAGGTTCCCCCTGAGCAAGGAGCCCGCTGTGAGACTTGATCCCAGGACCCTGGGATCATGACCTGAGCCCAAGGCAGATGCTTAACCTACTGAGCCACACAGGCATCTCTAAAAGAAACTTTTAAAAGAAAGTTAGACTATAGAATTTCATGTGTGTGTATATTTATTTACTTAAAATATATACTAAAGATTCCAAATATACTACATATTATAGATTATATATATATAAATATATATATATATATATTTAAACTCTAAAAATCCATTCCAAGTCACATAGAAGTAAAACTGTAGAAAACCAAGAATTAAATGACAATTTTAAAAGCTTTGAAAAATGGGCAGATTACTCTTAATGAAAAGAAATGACAATTAGTATGATAACAAGTAAAATTCCCTTTAGCAACTGTAGGTGCCAGAAGATAATGGAATAATATATTAAAGGGAGCCAAGGGAAAATAGCTGTAAACCTAGAACTACAGAATTATGAAGGATTATAAAACCAAAGCATAATTTATTCATTCAGCAAATAATTTTTTTGGTATTTACTATATTTCAACTCCTGTTCCAGGATTTGGAATACAGCAGGAAACAGAAGAGACAAAGCCCTTTTCCTCAAGCCCCTTTTCTTAGGAGGACAGACAGACAATAAATAGGTAGCCTGTCCTCCCATGTGCTAAGAGCTGTGAAAAGAAAAGGCAGGATGAGGGATATAAAGTATTGTGTGGAAGAGGTCATTTATAAAGAGGTATGAAGGAAGTCTCTTTTTTTGAGAGAGAGAGAGCACGATTGCACACTAGCATGCTGGATGTGGCAGGGGAGTGGGATGTGGGCAGAAGGCGAGGGAGAGAGAGAACCCTAAGCAGGCTCCACGCTCAGCATGGAGCCCAATGCAGGGCTCAATTTCACAACCCCAAACTCATGACCTGAGCCAAAACTGAGAGTCCCACACTTAAATCAACTTAAATCAACTGAGCCACCCAGGTGCCCCATGCCTCCTTCCCTCCCTCCCTCCTTTCTTTCTTCCTTCCTTCCTTCCTTCCTTCTTTCCTTCCTTCCTTCTTTCTTTTCTTTCTTTCTTTCAAAAGAGATTTTACCTATTGAGGGGCACCTGGGTAGCTCAGTTCTTAACTGACTGCCTTCAGCTCAGCTCATGATGCCAGGGTCCTGGGATCAAGACCTTCATCAGGATCCCTGCTCAGTGGGAATCCTGCTTCTCCCTCTCCCACTTCCCCACTTGTGTTCCCTCTCTTGCGGTCTCTCTCTTGTCAAATAAATAAATAAAATCTTTAAAAAAAAAAAAAGATTTTACCTATTTGGGAGAGAGAGAGCAAGTACAAGAGCAAGGGAGTGGGAGAAGCAGACTCCCCGCTGAGCAGTGAGCCCAACCCTGGTCTTGATCCCAGGACCCCGGGATCATGCCCAAGCTGAAGGCAGATGCTTAACCAAGTGAGCCACCCAGGCACCCCTGAAGGAAGCTCCTTATGAGGCCATGACATTTGGCCAAATTCTCAAAGGAATTGAGAAATGTTCCACAAAAGTGTCTGAAGCAATGGATTCCAGATGGAGGACTCATGAATGACCTTAGATGAAGGAGAAAAATGAGACGCAGGGGGCAGAGGAGGAGCAGGTGGAGGAACTCTGGCGTTGGTTAGAGGAGATGGAGTTGCCATCTACTGCGATTGAGAAAACCTCAGCATATGGAGGTTTGTGGATTAAAAACCAAGAGGCTGTTTTCTAGTAAGACATTCCAAGTGAAGACAATCAGGTAGGCAGCTGGATATAGGAATCTGGACTCCGGGGGAAGAAGCTGGAACAGGAGATACATATCAGCATCTAGATATTAATTAAAGCCTTGTACCAAGTATGAACACAGACAAAGGGAAACCTCTGAGAACTGAACCCAGGGGCAATGCCACATCGACAAGCAAGGAACGCAGAAGGAAATGGGAGACTCTGTAACAGAGGCCAGGGAGATAGATGAAGAACCACAGAGAGCAGTATGAAACTTCAGTTTAATGAACTTCCACTCAGGTTCCTCCAGACCTGTGAATTTTGCAGCACAAAATGGTCATGCACACTGATTTGGGTTGAATGAGGGCACTGACAGTGAGGAGCAGAAGGAGCAGGAGAGTGGGGCAGGAGAATGGAAAACACATGCTACACTTGATAATTCTAATTTTATCCTTACTGCCTCTTTGTCTGTTCTCTGCACAGCCAGTGCTGAGGCAGCTTCTAAGTACCTCTTCATAGTTAGTAAGTTGGGTTATGCAGTGGTAAATCTGGTCATTCTGGCACTCATCACACTGGTCACCATATTCATATGCCAAATGACCCCCTCAGTTTGGCCACTGTTACCATCTCGGCAGCAGGCAGGGAAGTGGCTGCAGGTAGCTGAACAATCCGTTCCAGACAGACACAGAGCTAGATTCAACACCTTTGCAACTGACTCGGTGCAACCATTTTCAGTACTTAATGGCGCCTGGGATGTGATAAACATGACTATGTTCATTCTTTCTAGTTCCTTCATATTTTTTCAGTTAAAATATGTAGATGAATATATTTGCATGTGGTCATTTTAAGATTCATTCAGATTATTGAAATGTTGTTGCTTAAGCCCAACCTCTTCACAAACAGTTGTGGGATTATTCCAAATGTGTTCAAAATGTTTTCTCCTGGGGAAATTCAGATGTAGGGAAATGTTCTCCATTATGGCCATCGTGTGTCTCAAATGAGTCTCCTAGTCTACA